GTAGATTTGTCGAAACTTACTATACTATACTACTATACTATACTACTATACCATACTACTATACTATACTACTATACTGTACTACTATACTATACTCACCTTACGAAACACATCAGCGTTAGGTTGTAATTTTGTGTTGGTATTTTTTGAAAGAGTGAATTGTTTTTTTTGTTAAAGAAGAAACAAAATCAATAATAAGAAATGCATAGAAAATATAATTATTTCAGTAAAGGAGACAATCAATTTTTGTATGGAGAATGGGCCCACCACAAATTTTCGCGTCACGCAATGAAATGGATGTCGATTTATTCCTTATAATCTATAGTTTACAAAAGTAATATCAGTTTTACCACATCTAGACGGAAAATCGAGAAATTAACAATTAAAATATGAATTTTAAAATAACCTAGAAATAAACTAAAAGCTATTTATAGTGGTTTTTACCGGTATTTTAAGTTAAAATAGTGCACTGTTGAATAATAGTTCATATAAAACCAAGTTGTAGGTACATTCAGCATTTTCAGGTACTTCAATATTTTTAGTAGTTACAAAATATAGTGCCTGTCTGTGTACAAATGTGGTATGGATACAATTTTTTACATATATTGATTGTGAGTGTACTTCCCAATTACCGTTAAAATAATATGATTAAATTCAAGATGACTAAGGTATAATATATCCATTTATATTTACAATATTACCAACACACGTTATATAGTAAGAAAGATGTTTTAAACTGACTGTGTAAAAAACAAGTTATAATGCAACCGTATTTATAGATAGTAAATCATCATTTCCAACATAGTCTATATAATTCAGACATATAATTCAGATCTATTTATGCAGACAGACAGACAGGCCTGGTGTCAAGACTTTTTTTAATATGCTTTAGTTGATTATTAAATACCTAATTATACATCTTAAAATGACTGGGTTCTAAAATACCAAAATGACTAGGTAATATCATGCTTATCTGTTATTACACACTGATAAATTGTGAGGAAGTAAGATGTTTTGAACTGTTTGTGCCAGGATAACAAACACACAGGTATAGTTTAATTGTATTTATTATTAGCGATCTGCCGCGACTTCGCACAGGTGATTTCTGGATTTCGACAACAGCGCCACCTACCGAGTCCATATGTGAATATGAATCATATAGAGACCCATTCAAACACACATAAACATATCATCAAAATCGCTTGGATGGTTTCTAACGGACATAGGTAGAAACATTTTTCGTGTTTTCATATCAAAAGATCATATTAAAAGATTTTTTCAAAATAACTTGATGGTAACATTTCTATTTATGATACGATATTGATATGTAATAAGTCCCAAAGATCATCTATAATCACTGCATTAATTATGGTTAAAATCGTCAGTGTTTTATGAGTCCTCTTTTAAAAATAACACAGCAGACTGACAAATTGTATGCAAGGTGTCTGATTTTACAAACATCAATCTGTGTACCAAAGCGATTGTGGCAAATCCTCTGGGCTGCCTATTTGAGGCAGGGGACCATTTACAGCCTTTTAAAATAAAGTAAGTACCTGGTGTGATGGTATCCACTGCAAAATAATATCTCTTTCTTCAGAGTTAATAGGCACAATCCGTCTACGGTGTGCTCTTAAAATTGAAGATCCACATGGAATACAAATATTCCTGTACACAAATCTTCTAATGGAGTGAGCAGATGCAACATTTTCTTGCAATATTCTTAGGCAGTTACAACAAACTGCATCAAGTGGGTGTAACTGAAAAAATCAGGAATTAAAAATAAAAGTGTAAATAAATATTAAGTTCAGATAAATGTACATTTTGAGGAGGGAAGCGAAGTTGGCATGAAAGTGAATGTTTGATGTGGAACCCTATATTATTTGAAATACAATACATTTTCAATTAAAAAAAATTGGAAATCCAAAAGACAAATATCGATTAATATATTATGATTTTACAATATTTACAGTATTTCAGGTATATCATATAGTGATAAATAAACTTTATAATATTAGAGTATAATGGAGTTGTGTAATATTAGTAATATATGGGGGAGGCCTATGTTCGGCAGTGGAGTTTAATTGGCTGTAACGGTAATATTACAGTGGATTGAAATATTTTTCATTGCACAAAATAACTTACTTTTCTATTTACATAATATTTTATCGTCAATAAATATTGACACATATATACCTATACTTTTTCGACTTTGATTTCTGATTGACTGACAAAAGATAATTAGACACACATAACATGTGATACATCATACCATGCCACAAAAACTTCTTTTGTGTATATTGTGTGACTTTATTTTATCTATTATTTAAATTAGATTTCACTAATAACATAAAACTTCAATACTTTAACATTTAACACATTAGTAAGACCTGTGTTTATCATTTGTTAAAGGTTAATTCAGTATAAGTTATAGATTTTACAAAATACTAGGAGGAAAAAATAAACTTTTATATTACTCACATGGACTTTTACTCGTCAGTTTGCATTTTCGAATGTCATTGGCAAATTATATACATAAATGTGATATAGGTATTTAATATTTGACTTACGTGCATGATATAACCCTTAGGTTAAACATTTTTTGCATCAATTAGACATTAACATACTAATCCACTTGTAAGCAGTAAAACTACGTGAATTTTCATTTTTAAACTTTTACTTTAACACGAACACAGTTTACATCAATTTAAACAAACAAGTTTATACCATATTATATTTTTTCTACCAAATAGTTTGAAACAACAGACTTTTTTCTTACAGTCAATGCCAGTCAATGGAGTCAATGCAAAGAACTATGCCTGTATGTTGGTAAATAGCAGGAAAGAATGCAGTGTCATCTTGTGTCAAAATGTAAAATAATTCAATCAATATAATATATCATTTATCAATTTAATATAACGAAAGATTAAAATTATAGCTATAGAAGGTATGAATTTATTAATAATATGAAGGGATATTTATTATTACTTTTAAAAACTTAAAATAATTAAGTACTTAATCATGTATAGATCATTATGTGTGCCTGGAGTCTGTGGATCGTTTTCTTTCGTATTATTTCTAAAAAATCGTACCATATCCCATATTATTCAACAGAAATAAAAATATTAAGTAATACATTAATAAAGAAAATATGTAATTTTCGTTTCCGCAGTATAGTAATATTGTTGGAATAAAATCGAGAGTAACAAAAATAATATATATTTTTCATAAAGTTTAAATCTAGATAATATGTAAGTAGATAGATTGTATAGTGCAGTCATTAGCTTTCCATGAGATAATATTATACCTACCTCATGAGAAATCCACACAGATAAAAGTTGGCGCACATCAGCAGTTGTCTCGGCCAGTAATTGTCTTCGCACACTGCGTTGAAACCTAACTCCACAATTGCAACATACACTTCTATTTTCATTGTATGCTGATCTAGCAGATTCCATTTTCTTAAAATCGCATATAAATACAAAAAAACAGTAGCGTGACGAACGTCAATGCCGTTAAGATTAAAGACGTAGGTAATACCCCGCCGCCCCGCCCCGCCGTACCCGGCCGCCGGCCGCTGGGAATTACCGGAAGTCAATGATAAAATAACGTTTTGGTTCACAGTCATTTAGAACTATGTTATAACGTGATATTAGCTAAAATTTTTAGAAAATAAACATAAAGTTCTTAGTGGTATCTTTTTTAAGTCAGCTTTGTGAAAAAATAGTTTTCTTTTTATACAAACTGCAAAATGACTAATTAGGTACACGCATTTTACCCATATTACACTAATCAGAACACGAATATCAAAACAACTAATTTTTTTCATATTTCTTGATTCCGTTTACATTTTTGAAAAATCTGTAGGCCATTTACTATTATAATTTGGTGTCTTTTTTTTGATGTAATACCATTAAGTGACGTTAATATTTTTAGTGGGCCCAAAAATGATTGTCCCCTTTGTGACGAAATTGTTATAAACGGTAAAAAATGAACATAAGCATTATCGGAAAATAATTGAGATTAGGTACAATGTTCTGAAATATTTGCAAGCTATTCCAATGTATGAACTGGCTAATTGCCAAAATCGGAAAGGAAGCTGCTAGTTGGAAATATACGAAGATTAAAAAAAGAAAATAGATTTAAATTTTACTCATTCATTTCGTAAAAGAATTACTTTTTAATCGCTCACATGTAAGCAGTATAATGCTAAAATATTTGTGTTATTTGCACGAATACTATATGCTGGTAGAGCCATATTGCGGTTATATTATGGTTGTAGCACGAATGGGTCGGCTCTACCGGGGAAGGACCACGCTCTCACAGAATACAAGCGTAAAATAGCAGCTTAATGCTGCTGTGTTTCGTATGATGAGTGTAGAAATCAGGAGACCATTTCTTACTGAAAACGAGGCATTCCATGTTAGTCCTCAGGAGTGACAATGCATCTGCGTTTTTGTTCTTAATCAAGGATAAATGTAGATGTCTATAGGCCACAGCATCCACTTCCCATCAGGTGGAATGTGTGCTCGTTTGTCACCCTTAGTCTATAAAAAAAACACTGAATAAAATTAATTTTACGGATTTTACGTAATTTTTAATTCACGAATTTTGATTTCAAGGATGTTCACTAGGTTCTCTCCATGAATACGGGTGCTGCGAAGCACCCAAAACGTCGGGTAAGTTAAAATAAATTAAACACGATAAAACGCGTAAAATTAGTTTTACTCAGTAAAATGCTGTTGAGTTTCATCAGGAGCATAGGGTAAAGGAGTGTGTGTGAGCACTAAAGGACCATGCTGGGAATTCGTGATATAAATTGCTAAGAATTTAGTAGAAGCTTTCAAATAATTGTAGAAAAAAAATATAATATTATGAAATTTACAGCCTTTAAATTATGGTCTCTATGGTTCTTGTATGGGTCTATGGTTCTTACAGTCAATCAGTCAGAACAAAATTATCTTAAAAATGTTACATAATTACATTTATTTATCTCGTTTCAGGATGGCTACTAAAGAGGAATCTATGGAAACTGAAGTAATAGTGAGTATATCCTTTGTTTTTTTGTTAAGAAAAAAGACGCATATCCTGGTGTGTCCGCGTAATAGAGTTCCAATAATCCATATTATCTCATAGATGTCATAAAGGGCGACGAGGATACTGCAATAGAAGTTGGGCGGAAGTATCTCCCCGATAGCAACTCAATGAGAGTAAAAAAAGCGTTCCTTGGACTTACTGAGTGAAGTGAAAACTTAAAACTATGAAATAAAAGTAGTTTGCAAAATAGCGTCCAACGCATTTATCATACGCGCAACATGGCATACTTACAGCTACAGATGTGCTGTTAACATTAGCATGTCGGATTCGAAATTATAAGACTTTACCCATCCAAATGTCACCTAATGCGCCTTAAAATGTCTTCACTTAAAGAAAACTGCAGTTTGCAATTCGCTCCTCAACCGTGGTAATTATAGCAAAAATACCTCTTATGTAACAAATTTCTCCCATGCAATGACAATGAAAAGCTATGAAGGGGCTGAACATAATTCAGTAGCAGACTTTCGATCAACTGTGATAAATGAGGGAAATAATATTGATTATCATAATTACGTCAATTCCGCATATTATTAATTATAATATAATTTATAATCAACTGCTAGACACATAATCGCACCTGATTTGCATTTAACACGGTCTAAATCTTTTTGGGCGGATATAATCTAGATAATTATTCCACATGTCGTAATTTTAGAAAATTTTTTGTGCTGTTTTTATATCATCAGACTGTAAAAGTCATTGACATGACCCGTTACAGGATTTACCTCAAAAGCCACTAGCCACACACTAGGCAAGCGGATTGACTATCGCAATACCAGATGTTGCACCTTTGATGCTGCCTCCCGCTGTTGGGCTGGTCGAGGTCTGGTCACCTTATCATTCATCACCATTACAGCCTATCCAAAGTCCACTTCTGAATATAGGCCTCACTTCCTCAAAGGTGGGATTATGGTATGGTTTAGCTTGGCAGATGGGTCGACAACTGCAGAATTTTATTATTTTAATTGATATAAGGAAAATGCTCTGACGACTTTTACGATACTTACGGGATGATATGGGGTGGTGGATACTTTTACGTCCCTACTACCTATACAGACCTACCACCTGGACACTTCAACACTAACACTCAACAAGACTTTTTGGCACATCTCATTCGCCTTTAACGACACTTACGGTGCGAAATGGGGTGATGGATTGTTTAAACCGCGGCGGAAGTTTGTTCTAAAAAATCTGTACTTGTAAATTTCCTTTATTTGAGTTTTACGATATCTATGTAATTGATGAGAGAGTTTTGATCTTCACTTCGCTTACCGGCACAAGGTAGGTATTCAAAGGTACTCGGGAACCATTCTTCCTCATTGGTTATCAGAGATGGTAAAAGGCGCAGGAAGTGGCTCAGGACCGTGCTCTGTGACATTCCTTAGGGGAGGCCTATGTTTAACCGCGGACTTGTGATGGTCTATAACGATGATGATGATGATGATAGATTTTTATTAGCCACAAACACACTGCAAAATCACTATATACATATTTGTTTATTGAATTATGTGTTATAAAACCGCCAGAAAGGCTTACGACATACCGTTTATAACTCATTTATATTAATACTAGTAATACATGTTAACATATTTCACGTTATTTATATAACATACAATTTTGTTTAAATAAGTATTTTATTAAAAAATGAAGACAGATTCAAAGTAGATAATGTACATTAAGGTGGAGTCAAACAAATTTTTAACTTCCCCGTGTGAAGTTATTGTAAAGAGTCCGATTTTGAAAATGGGAAATTTTAACATATCTCCACGTTTCAAGGTCTATAGAGTCGTATAGTATGGTTTTTAAGAGGATATCCGTGTGTGCACGTGAATGTATGTATGTATGTTCGGATTCAATTTTCGCCTCGTGTATCTCGAGAACAAAGAGTGATATTGACATGGTACCAGTTCCATTTAACGCATAATTATGTAACTTAGACCTCATTAAATTTTGAGCAAAATGGGTCAAGTCGCCGAATTTTGTGCCGAATGATAAATTGTATTAAATATTAAAAGATATAATATTTTTTATTCTTTGCACTTGGAAGTTAGTCCTGTGGATCTTTCGGGTCGCACCTAGACCGTTTATTTTTTTATATTCACTATGACATACCCACAAAAAGCTGTGTGGTGGGAATAATAAGCAAATGCGAAAATTTTTTGGTCTAGGTTTATATTTTAGACGTATGCCTATAGACATAAACATACATAAGTACATACATTAAAAAGTTTTGAAAACTGAAACACGTCAATCTTCGTTAAAGCCGAACTTTGTAAAAAAATCTTTGAAATTGTTCTTCTGTAGTTTCTAAACGCATTTAGTATCGTTAATTTTCACAGTTCATAGCGTCAATTTTCACAGTTAAACCTTTCAGTCTTAATTATAACAGAACGTTTTATAATTTATTTATTTATTTTATTTATTTTTACACTTTATTGTACTAAAGGTACAAACGGCGGACTTAATGCCATATGGCATTTTCTACCAGCCAACCGGAAAGTTAGTGGGAGATGTGTGTACTGCAGTGGGCTAAGATGAAACCTAAAATTGATAAATTTCACATACCCCCCCCCCCCACACACACACACATCACACACACATATACTCATAGCTCAAACTTAATTATATATACATATATATACATACATACACATACACATACATATATACATATACATACATACACACACGTATACACACGTATATACAAACATATACAATAGATATAATAGATTAAATGCTATAGATTATTTATTGTGTCAGATGAACCCAAATAATGTTCCTTTACCTTTGTTTTAAAAATCCACTTGCTGGGGGGATTTTCTTATTGCTAGGGGAAGCGCATTCCAGAGTCTTACAGCTGTAACAACGAAAGAGTTTGAGAGGAAACCAGTACGGTGAGAGGGAGTATGGAGCACGAGATTGTTACGAGAGCGAAGATTGCAATCATGGGAAGAACCCAGGTATTGAAACTTACATTTCAAATACTCTGGGGCCAATGGATAGTTAAGAATAGTGAACAGAGTGCTAAGAATTCTAAGGCTCCTGCGTTGTGGGATATTTAACCATTTAAGTTGAGAGCGATAGAAAGAGACGTGGTCATACTTTCGAAGACAGTTACAGTTGTTGAGAAGCCGATCCAATTTATTGACCAAGTATTTGTCTACATCTAAGTAACACACATCAGCATAGTCAAACATAGGAAGAATTAGCGCTTGAATTAGAAGTTTCTTCGTACAAGGCGGTAAGATATTTTTATATCTGTACAATTTTCTCAAAGTAGTACAAACTTTACGGCTAACTTCCTCAACATGACTACGCCAAGTAAGTGAACAATCCAAGGTTAATCCCAAGTCCCTAACATGGGAGCTGTAATGAATTACCTCGTTATTATAAATCAGAGGATCGAACGATGTGTGATTAAGTTTACCTAATTGACGTGCACTGCCTAAGACTATAGCTTGGCATTTGCTTGGATTAACAGCAACCCCATACCTTCTTGACCAATTAAGAATCCAGTTAAGATCGGAGTTAATCACGGTTACAGCATTATTTATGGAAGTAGCATCGGCATGAGCATAGAGTTGCAAGTCGTCGGCATACATATGGTAGGAAGAACGAAAATTAGAAGTGATCATGTTAATAAATATAGAGAAAAGTAAAGGAGAGAGAATTCCACCTTGCGGAACACCAGTGGTTAATTCACCCCAATCGGACACCATACCATCGACACGAATCGCCTGCTGGCGACCACGAAGATAGGAGGAGACCCAATTCCGTGCTGATAAGGAAAAACCTATGTTAGACAAGATGGCGATGAGAATATCATGGTCAACGGTATTAAAGGCGTTAGAAAAATCTATTAAAACTAACACCGTCAACTTTCCAAACTCCATGCCATCACGCATATCCTCTGTTATTTTTAAAAGCGCCGTTGTGGTGCTATTTCCTGGTCGAAATCCTGATTGGTGTTGATTCAGTAAGTTGCTTTTGGTTAAGTGAGTTTGTATCTGTTTGAGCGCTACAGCTTCTAAGACTTTTGACAAAAACGGCAAAATCGATATAGGCCGGAAGTGAATAAGAGCACTGGGCATAGAGATTTTTGGAAGAGGGAGAACAAAAGCCTTTTGCCAGCGTGACGGAAACTTCCCAGTAAGCAATGAGCGGTTTATAATGGAGGTTAAAATTGGTACAATATGATCTGAAACATATGATATCATGGTTCTTCCTATGTTGTCATGACCTACAGCCTTTGATTTAAGTTTTTGTAATACTTTTAAAATATCCTTCTCAGTGACAGCAGAAAAAGAGAAAGAATCAGTATGCGGGGATGACATGGAAGTAATATCCGAAATAGTTTTCATTTTAATATGAGATGGGAGACAAGCCGCTGTAGAAAAGTGAGCACTGAGATCATTTAATGAGAAAATATCTGAGATTACTTGTTTTTTAGTTTTACTGAGACCATGAGAGTGAATGAACTTCCATGTCTCCGATTGCGATGAATTAATTAGGAAATCATGAAAATATCGGCGTTTAGCAGACCTCACCACCTGATTGCAGCGATTCCTAGCCTTTTTGAAGGCCTCCCAGTTCTGTACAGTACGGCAAGATTTATATGTGACAAAAGCTCTATTGCGCCTGTTCATTGCCAAGCGTACGTCGCTAGTGATCCACGGTACTGATGGACGTTTGATTTTAACCTCGCGTTCTGGCGCATGTGTATTGAAAATATTCAATAATTTAGAATTAAACTCCATAACCATATCATTAATTGACTCAGTATTTAACACTGGAGACCAATCAATGGCGGACACATCATTAATTAAGTTATTTCTATTTAATCGAGCATAGCTGCGTAACTTTATTGTATGAGGGATATGTTTAGGTGGTTTTAATTTATATGAGAGAAATAACAAGTCATGGTCGAAAAACCAGGAGCTGGG